TGGAAGCAGATGGGCAACCCATCTCAGCAGACGAGTACCTGCAGATTTCACTCAAACTCAAGCAAGGTAAAGGGGACTGAGAACTGATTATTGGGAATCACAAGCCATAAGCAACCATCATCTTTTATTTTTCTATTAATGTTTTTACATGTATAGTTTTCTACTTCTCAGCTGCCTAGTTCTAAGAATTAATGGTCGTATAATATCTAAATTCATAGATTTGATTTTGAATTATCTTCTCCCCTATCCTAAGAATAAATTTCTTTTTCTTTCACCTTTCCCTGTACGGTGATCAAATTTATTTTTATCTCCCTGCTCAGGCCTTATGATGCTGTAATTAGCCAAAGAATATGGAGTAGAGTTGGCACTTATTTAAAGAAAATAGATTAAAGCATGACAATGCAGTAGGGCAAGTGTTGGCAAACTATAGCCCACAGGCAATGCAACCTGCCAGCTATCTTACAAATAGGTTTTAATGGATGAATACTATGTAGATTGTCCATGGCTGCTTTCATGCTGTAATAGCAGAATTGAATATTTGGAAAAGAAACCACCTGACCTGCCAAGCATAATATATTTACTATTTGACCATTTACAGAAAAAGTTTCCAAGCCCCTATATTAAGCAAAGCCATTTTTATCTCTCTCCAGGTACCAGTTCTAAAGATAAAAATTTTAACCTGCCCCGACTTTGTATCCGAAAGTTCTTCCCAGAGAAGAAATGCTTTATCTTTGATCGGCCCACTCATCGGAAGAAGCTAGGCCAACTTGAGACAATGCATGATGATGAGCTGGACCCCGAATTCGTGCAACAAGCTGCTGACTTCTGTTCCTACATCTTTAGCAATTCTAAAGTCAAAACTCTTTCAGGAGGCATCCAAGTCAATGGACCCCGTGAGTCCACTTCCCTGTCATTACTCTCACTGTTAAGGCTAAAGGAAGATGGAATAGCATCCACCTAGATTCAGCTTTGAAAAATGCAAATATACTACTATCACTGTGATACATCTAGATGACAACACATTTCTAATACGGAGTAGATTTTATTAGCCAGATTCTGTGGGTGAGAAAAGATAGAAAAGGACAAATAAAGAAGCTCTATTGTTTAAAATTGCCCCAATAAGCTGGACCTGTACTATCCCATATGATAGCTACTAGACCAGTGTAGTAGAAACATTTATCTAAAATTACATGTAGATTAATGAGAATTAAAAAAAATTAACAATTCTGATTACATGGCTAGTGGCTCCAATATTGGACAGCACATATAGCACACGACCATCATCACAGAGAGTTGTCTTGGACAGTGTTTAGCTAGAATAAATAAAATGGAGGGCTCTTTTTTAAATCTGAGTATTTTAATCTTCACCCAGGGATGTTTTTCAATGAATTTGAGAGAGAGAGAGAGAGAAACATTGATGTGAGAGAGAAACATTAATCAGTTGCCACCTACATGCGCCCCAAATGGGGATTGAATCCACAACCTAGGTGTATTCCCTGACTAGGAATCAACCTACAACTTTTTGGTACAATCCTCCAACCAACTGAGCCACCTGGTCAGGGCAGAGGACTTCTTTTTAATTGTTTCACAAATATTGATTTTATAAATGCTTACCATGGACCAAAACTGATGATAGAGACATAAATGAGAGGTACATTTCCTATCCTAACGGTGCTTAGGGTAAAGCACATGCACTCAATAAACACAGGTCTATGGTGTCTAGAACAGAGGTTCTCACCCTTTGATATGTGTCCATATCACCCAAGATCTTGTCAGAAGAGGATTTAATTCAGTTGATCTGGAGCAAAATCTGTGAGTATGGATTTCTAGAAAACTTCTAGGTGATACTAAGGACACAGATGCTGTGAGCCAAATGAGTGTTGAGAGATACCATCAGATTTATAGAGGATGGACTGTTTCCTCACCTCACCTACAACAAATGTTATCTTTTGTTCTCTATTTGTAGGGCTGGAGAGTCTGGTGATGACCTATATCAATGCCATCAGCAGCGGGGACCTGCCCTGCATGGAGAATGCCATCCTGGCCTTGGCCCAGATAGAGAATTCGGCTGCAGTGCAAAAGGCCATTGCCCACTATGACCAGCAGATGGCTGAGAAGGTTGAACTGCCCACAGAAACCCTCCAAGAGCTCCTGGACCTGCACATGGCCAGTGAGAAAGAGGCCATTGAAGTCTTCATCAAGAATTCCTTCAAGGATGTGGACCATTTATTTCAAAAGGAATTAGCGGTAATTTTTTTCTCATGTGTATATGGATTAGGGTTTCAGAAAGCAAAGTACTACTAGAAAGTAAAATGGGTATTTATTAGGAGAGAAGGAATTCTTACTAGACTTCGAAATGACAAAAACCACTATTTGTTATTATTATATAGGGTGTCCCAAAATTCACGCAAGATTTGCAATTGAATTGAAGAACCAATATTATTTTGATTGACTTAAAGTTTGCACTTTTTTTCCTATAATGCATAAACTAATCCTCTTTCTCATAATTTAGTTAAATGCATGCAGATAACAATCAGAGCTTCTCATCAAGTCACAAGCTTGTTGGTACCAGACAGCAAAGAAAGGTGTAGTCTTAGTTATCTTGAGCAGGCTTACATTGAGCCACATTTGTTCCATATATGTAAATTGCTGGCCCAATTTGAAAAGCAGAAGTTTCTTTCTAAAGGTGTGTTTGTGGGACTAGAGAACCTAGTCCTGACCTATGTCAATGCCATCAGCAGTGGGGATCTGCCCTGCATGGAGAACGCAGTCATGGCTTCGGCCCAGATAGAGAACTCGGCTGCAGTGGAAAAGGCCATGGCCCACTATGATGGGCATATAGGTAGCATCAATGCTAACATAAAGCCAGCAATCTCTGCCATGAACTTCACCTCCAAGAGAAAGGGTCTTCAATAGAAAGACAGGACCAGGAGGAAGGATGTGGTCCTGCTGAGGTGCCTGTTAGTTCCAAAAATCAGAGGTCAAGCTAACATTTTCTCTGTACTCTTTCTACGTCCTATTTTCACATTACAGGCCCACCTAGAAAAAAGGCGAGATGACTTTTATAAAGAGAATATTAAAGCATCATCGGATCGCTGCTCAGCTTTACTTAAGGATATCTTCCAATCTTTAGAAGAAGATATAAAGCAGGGGGCTTATTCTAAATCAGGAGGATATCGTCTCTTAATGCAGACTGTGCAGGAGCTGAAGAAAAAGTATCTTCAGGCACCCAAGAAGGGAATACAGGTAACCAGCATTTATCTGTCCCTCTGTTGCTCCCCTCAACCCCACACTTCCCTTCCTCCCAGTCTCCCTCCACCTCCTTTCCTTGGATCTGCTCTCTCCATGATGGCTTCATTCCTCACACCATATGGGACCACAGCACCAACAGCTCCAAAAGTAGAGACCTCACTCAGAGAACAGAGACTCTCAATCTATATTTATATCAATCACTTACAAAGGTTTCTGCTTCATAGGGTGCCAGGCTTGGCCAACCTGGAGCATGTACCCACCCTGTGACAGGGGCCCTTTGACCAGCACAAGGACCAGGGCCAAGCGAAGCAATTCCTACAGGAAAAGATGGGGGGGAGGGGGCAAACAGGAATAAGTGCTTCCTGAGATTTCCTATTACTAATGCCATTTTCTCCGGGTCCTAGAGTGAAGAAGTTCTTCACGCATACCTGAGCTCCAAGCAGTCTGTGATTGATGCAATTCTACAGACAGACCAGACTCTCACAGAAAAGGAAAAAGAGATAGAAGGTGAGGTGCAAGTCAAGAGACTAGATAGCCTCAACAGCTTTTAAAAGTTTAAATAATTTGGCTTTGAGAACCTGGATTCCTTTAACAAGAGCCAGATGAGCAAGGATGACTATTACTAACCAAAGTCAGTCTCAGTGGGGCAAATGCAGTCAGCAGCAACAATAACAGATAAGTTCACCAAGAGGAAAAAGCAAAGTGGTCACCCACATGAATTTGTCTTCTTCCTTTCCTCCTGGCAGTGCAACGTGTGAAAGCTGAATCTGCAGAGGCTGCAGCAAAAATGCTGGAGGAAATGCAAAAGAAGAATCAGCAGATGATGGAGGAGAAAGAAAGGAGTTACCAGGAACATGTGAAACAACTGACTGAGAAGATGGAGCAGGAGAGGGCCCAATTAATGGCAGAGCAAGAGAAGGTTCTGGCTCTTAAACTTCAGGTATGTAATGGCATCACCTTGATGTTTGTCTTTTTCTGTTTTCTCTCCACTCTTCCTGGCTTGTTTGTGTGTCTGTTAGAACTCGAAACCCGGAAGGACCTTGCTTGCCCACTCACATCTTTCAATCCCTGTCTGTCTGCCTGACTTGGAGCCTGCCTATGACTGGTTCTTAAAAATTTTCATTGTCCTTTATTTCACATCCAGTCCTTTATCAATACAATAGAGTTCTGGTGCATGGATTCGTGCACATGTAGGGTCCCTCAGCCTGACCTGCACTGTCTCACAATTTGGGACCCCTCGGGTAATATCAGATTGCCGCTTTCAACCTGATCCCCACAGATGGACTTCTCCAGTGCACAAATCCATGCACCCGGCCTCTAGTATACATATAAGAGCTTTGGTTAATCTCTTCCCACCCTCTGCCCTTCCCCCTTTCCTCAGAGATTCATCAGTCTGTTCCATGTTTTCATGCCTGTTCATTGAGCGTCTGCCCCCTGGTGGTCAGTGCACATCTTAGCTACCAGTTGAACAGTCAAACATGAATGGTCATTTAGGCTTTTATATATATAGACTAGAGGCCCAGTGCACAAAATTTAGTGCACAGGTAGGGTCCCTAGGCCTGGCCGGAGATCAGGGCCAATCAGGGCCTTTCTTCCAGCTGCCCGCAGGGAACTTCCCCTGCCTGCCATATGCCAGCTGGGCCCTTCCTTTGTTCTGCAACTCCCCCTGGTGTTCAGCACATATCATAGCGAGCAGTGGAACTCCCAGTCGGTCCAACTCCCAAGGGGACAACTTGCATATTAGCCTTTTATTATATAGGATTCTTCAATCAATAGTAGCTATTATCTTCTAGGCATTGTAAATGTGTGTTGTCTGTATCTCTTGCTTAATATTGTATGAATCAAGAATTGCTGTGTACCTATACCTTAGGCAAAGATACAGAAGTTCACAAAAGATGAGCTTTCATAGGGTCACACAGATCAGTAAGATATCTGAACCACCTTCAAACTTAGAGGAATCTACAATCACTGTTTTTCAGTCACACCTGGTATGACTTCGGTTCTAAGAAACTTTATGAGCCCAGAAAGACTCCTTGCCTCTCACACCTGTGTCTGCCAGTCCTAACTGCTATGCCCTACTCCTAGTTTGTGTAGTGAGCTATGTACAGAAATCCAGTATAGACATTTAGGGGCCTTTATGTCCCTTATTATATCCTGCTATTCTTGCCACCAAACTGTGGAGGTTTAAATCAAATTCCCTGATCTAAAATTCAAACACTTCCTTTGATTTTCAGAATTTTTTATTTCTTTCATGTGTATGAATATAAAAGCCTAAGTGTGTGTGTATGTGCGTATAAGAGCCTATA